TCTTTCTTAATGAAATTGAATTAAGCATTCTATCAATCATGCTGGGTGCTCTATATTACAAATCTGGGAGCTAACATTAATATACCTACCTGTGGAAGGAGATGCCACCATAGCTGGGGGTCATAGCATTTGTTGCAGCCCAGAAGCCAAGAGCAAGGACACTCGGGTCAAGATCTGTATTCAAATCCTGGCCTGGGCTGCGGAGCACTGGTGGTACAGTGGCGAGCACAGTGGCCTTCCAATCTTGCTGTCATTTACAAGTTGTGTGGCCTTGGGCCAGGTTACCTTTCCTTGCCTCAATCTGTTCATGGTTAATATGGGAGATAAAGAATAATCAAAATGTCCTTTAACAGGTGAATAACCAACATGTGGCATGCCCATACAACGATTGTTATCAATAAAAATGAACAGGCCAATGATATATGCAACAACCTGGATGAATCTCAAATCATTACAAGTGAACAAAGTCAGACACAAAAGCATATATATATATATATATATATATATATATATATATGATTTAATTTATATAAAATTCCAGAAAACGCAGACCACTCTATCGTGACAAAAAAACAGGTCAGTAGTTGCCCGAGGACAGGGGTAGAGGAAGGATGGACTGAAAAGTGACATGAAAGATTTTTGGGGGTGATCAAAGTGTTCTACATACTGATTGTGGAGGTGATTTCACGGGACATATTCACCTGTCAAATTCAAACTGTGCACTTTAAATGAAGGCCCTTTATTATATGTAAATTAGACCTCAATATAGTTGATTTTAAAACACTTTCCCATAGATTTATTTTGAGAATTAATGAGAGAAAAAAATGTGAACCACTAGGCTTAGGAGCTGGTACATGGTCAATGTCTGGCAATGAATGGTGAGGCAGTGATGCTGTGGACACCATGGCATCAGAGCAGGGTGTTCTCTTGGGAGTCAGACCAGAGTTCCCCTCTGAGCTACTTTGTATAATAATCTCTAAGCCTCAATTTCTTAACCTGTCAAATGACAGGTTAGGACAAGACAGACTACACAGCTGCTTAACGCTACAACAATTTGATTCTAACCGATGGCAGCCAGCACAACCTTCTAATAATATGCATTTATGATGTGTGTAAACTGTAGTATTCATAAGGCTTTGCTGTAACATTCAATAGTTACTCCTTGAAATTTGTCATTTTTCACACACTCAAAAAAATGGAGAAAGTAGGATTTCAGAAGTCCATTGAAAGGAGTTGGGAAAAGTGCAAGGAAAGGTGTGGAGAGGCCTGGAGAAGAATACCAGTTGAGTAAACCTTCTGTAGCCATGAATTTAATAAGCATCTCAGAGTTATCAGAATCATAATTTCCACGTGCACTACTCCCCAACCGCCTAACAGCTTTGTTCAGTCTGGCAGGGGCCCTGCTGCCTTGAGTCCTTTGGCACATCCTCCTGGATGGTGCCCCCGCTCCTCTAAGCAACCAACGGCAATAGCAACAGGCAAGTTGTGAGGACAGGCAGGGCAAAGTGTGGCCAGCAGCCACCAATCACCAAGCCACCACAGGGCCCAGTTAACACTGCAGAGGACATCCTAGGTACAGATCTGAGAAAACAGATTTTGGGAACAGAAAGGCAGAACTCATTGGGAATGATTAGTGGGTGGAGAATTGGCGAGGAGTTTAGTGAGTAGAGCTAAGGAGAAATATCTGGCAAAAAGAAATGAGCTTGTCACTAAGAGATCACAGGATAGCAAAGAAAAATGCTGAAGAACGATGAGAGATGCTCATATGCTCTTAACAAGTCTGAGAGGGTAGACTGGATTCCTGACCTCCAGTGACTGCTTAAACCCCTTTGGAATGAGATGAGGGGGAACTTTCCACACAATCCTTTCCTCTCCAGTCCTGAGTCCTGGCTTTAAAGGCGTCACACCAGGGTTGTCAAACTTCAGTCTGTAAAGCAATCATTCAGGGAGCTTATTGGGATTCATGCACCCCCCCGGGCCCCAACTTGGTGAGTGGCCTGGAAATCTGCTGTTAAACATCATCCCAGAATATTTCACAAATGTCCTATATGACCCTTGCCCCGATCCTGTGAGTAGCTCTAAAACACAGGTAATCATCCAAGTTTTACTGATTTAATTCTCTCCTTCACTTTGTCGTCGCAGGCAAAGGTTAGTTAGTACAAGGCTGTGGGACTCTTCTTCTAGTCTTGAGAGAGTAACTGGTAGTAGACTTGCTTTCCTGCTGGAAACAATTAGAAAACTGGAAAAATATAAGGCACGACTATTTTCAGACAGTGGGCAAGGTAGACAGGACTGTGATCCCGAGAGAAGGGAGCCCTGCAGTCACCCCGGCTTTCTGCCTAGAGGCACTGCCGGGATCCTGGCACAGCGAGGTGGAACCCCCCCGTGGAGCATGGAGGGCTTGCTGAGTTGAGGAGACAGAGGTCAAAGTTTAGGGGGCTAAGGTGGCTGGAATTTGAGAAGCAGGATGTGAGAGAGGGGAGCTATGCAGGAAAAGAGATCCACAAATCTAGATGGACTGTGTACTAAGCTGTGCATGCACAGGGTCAACCTCCACAAGGCTGGGCAGAGAATTACGACCAGCAAGGAGTGAGCTAGCGATCCCCACAGCTGACACAGAACTGCCAGAGGGACAGCTCCGCCCAGGCCGGGGGAGAGTCCCGTGGAACAACCCGGCACTCAGCAGAGACACTGAGTGTCTTACTGTTCAGGGCGAACTCCAGACTTGTGTGGATAAAGCTTAAAAACGATTCTCAAAATGATCAAGTTGATCAACAAATACAATAACTGCCTACCAAAACAATATATTGTTTTTTAAAGGAAGACAACTAGATCTAGACACTCAAGCTAGTAACATTCATAATGGCCAGCAGCCAACTGACAAGCTACGAATCAAGCAGAAAAATATGTCTTGTAACCAAAAGAAAAATAAGTCAATAGAAACAGACTCAGAACAGATAGAGATGATAGAATTAGCAGAAAAGGATTTAAAAGCATTTACTATAAAGGTTACTATCAAGGAAAAGTAAAAACATGAATAATATAAGGAGATAAATGGAAGATATATATGAAGAGAGAGAGAAAGAGAGAGAACTGAGAGGTGCTTCTAGAGCAGAAAAAATACAATGTCTGAAACAACAAATTCACTGGATGGGCTTAACAGCAGACTAGACATTACAGAAGAAAAGATCAGCTACACAGCAACAGAAAACTATCCAAACTGAAGCAAAGTTTAAAATAGTTTAAAAAAAAAACACAAAAAAACCAGAGCTGCAATGACCTGTGTGGCAATTTCAACTGATACAACCCACATACACGTAACTGGAGTCCCAGGAGTGAGAGGGGGAAAAAATATACTCAGAGAAATAATGGCTAAAATTCTCTGAATCTGATGAAAACAATAAATTGACAGACTCAAGAGGTTCAAGTAGATAAGCACAAAGTAAGCCGCACCAAGGCATATCCTAACCAAATTGCTGAAAATAAAAGATAAAAATAAATAAACCTCAGAGAAGAAAAAGACACTGCATGCCGGGGAACAAAGATGAGCAGCACCACTGCCTTCTCCTCAGAAACAATGCAAACCAGAAAACACGTAATGTGAGTGCTGAAAGGGGGAAGAAGTGGTCAGCCTAGAATTCTGTATCAGGTGAAAAGACGTTTTCAGACAAGCAAGGCTGAGAGAATTTGTTGCCAGAGGACCTGCTCTACAAAAAATGTTAAATGAAGTTTTTCGGGCACTAGGAAAATAATACCAGATGGAAACTGAGTTCTACACAAAGGAATAGAGTGTGGAAATGGTAAACATGTGGGTTTTTTAAAAAAAGGCTTTGATTTAGCCCCAGATATAATCTCCTCTCTAGTGAGTTTCTTTTAAAAAGCTCACACAAACATTATCGTTTCTCTTGAGTTTGAACACGGGCCTTAGCTGTGCCACGGCTACTGGCCTACTCAGTGCTGTTTCTCCTTTGCTGGCCATGCCAGCCATTCACTGACTACTCCGCATAGTGCACTGAGGATGCAAAGACAAGTAAGACGTGGTGTCTGCTGTCAGGAATTTAGAGCCCGGAGGGAAGAACATTCAAGCCAACAAAGAGCTGAAGTGTGACACTTACTTAGCTCTGCGACTATGGGCAGCTTACTTAACCTCTCTGTCCTTTAGTTCCCTCAACTATAAAATGGGGATAATGACATTACTATCTCATAGGGTTGTTGTGGAGATTAAATGCTTTACCATCTATAAACTGGTAGACCAGTGCCTGATGTATAATTAACACCTAACAAACATTAGCCATTGCTGCTGTTACCATGTTGCCCAGGAGGTTGTAGGAGCACAGAGAAAGATCAACCAATGAACCTGTATGTGTACATGGGTAACCTAGGAATACGGACAATAGGGTGGTGAAGGCCTGGGGTGGGGGTGGGGGCAGGCTGGGAGAGGTCAATGGGGGAAGAAGGGGACATAGGTAATACTGTCAACAATGAAGATTTTACAAGAAAGAACGTTTACAACTCAATAATAAAAAGACAAGTAACTCTTTTTTAAATGAAAAAGAGGGAGTGGATGGGAAGGGAAGGCATGGCAGAGGAGGTGATGCTTCAGCTGATTTTTGAAGGACGAGGAGTGTTGGTAGATAAAGAAGGGGTGAGCCCTAGCTGGTTTGGCTCAGTGGATAGAGCCTGCGGACTGAAGGGTCCTGGGTTCAAGTCTGGCCAAGGGCACATGCCTGGGTTGTGGGCTGGATCCCCAGTGGGGAGCATGCAGGAGGCAACCGATCAATGATTCTCTCTCATCATTGATGTTTCTATCTCTCTCTCCCTCTCCCTTCCTCTCTGAAATCAATAAAAAATATATATTAAAAAAAAAGAAGGGGGAGAGGTACTCCTGGCAGAGGCAGTAGCACTTAGAGCAACGGGTGCCTGAGCTGCAGTGCAGGACATGCCTCGGGGGCTCTGGGACATCTCCGAAGCCCCTCAGACTTCCTCCAAGAACGTCTTACCTCCTCCGTCATCTGATCCATCCAGGCTCTTCGGTCTGAGGCGATGACTGCGCCCAAAAGGAAGGAAAGTAGAAAGTGAGTTTCAGGCACAGAAAGAAACAACCCCAATTTGTATTGTATCCATTCTTTCTCCTAGATGAAAAGGTCTCTGGATCTACTCTCCTCCAACTTGCTCAAACCTAACTGGGCACCTGGGTCTGCCATGTATGGCTGCCCAAGCTGGTACTGCATCGTTGCACGGGGTAGCGTCACACAGACTATGATATGAATGCTCTCCTGCCTCTGAGGTGGGAAATTTGATGGCCCTGACTTTACACTCCATCTTCACCTGAAAACTTTTAAAAAATGTAAGTCTTAGGAGAAGGCAAGGCTTATAAACTGGCACTGCCTCTGCCCGTGGGTCAGTACTCTGATACCCAGACATGTAATTCTAAAAACCGCAGGGTGGGAGGTGTGACTGGCTACCAATGCCAAAGCCCAGGCCTTCAGTGGAAGAATTAAACCCTTAATTCAGGAAGCATGACTCCAGCCCAGACCACAGCCAGATTCACACTGCCTAGCCTATTTTTTTAATGCTGCTCAACAAAGACTGCACTGTCGACAAAGATCCCCATAGGATGCCATAAGAAGACTGCAAACATACTCTTCCATTTCTTCAAAAGCCTTCCTTCCCGACCTGGAAAAAAGAAAGAGAAGGGTTATGAGAACCCGCTAGTCTCATGCATTGGCAGGGTATGTTGGACAGGGGGTTTAAAAAGTGGGTGCAAATATCCCAGCTGCTTTATTTGTCTGGATTCCTCTTCACAGACCAAGGCTCATACTCAGCATGAGGGCACTATAGACCCTGCAATGCCTTCTTATAACCTTACTTCAGCACGTCTCCAAATTAAATGACTGAGTTTAAATGCAGGCTGAGTGAGCTCAAAAGTCAAATGAGTATAGATGATATGACGTCCTCCTTTCTTTCAACAAGTACTGACCAATTTATTGAGCACTTTTTAGGACTGAGGCCTTGGGTCCCAGTTGGAGCTGTTGTGTTAACATGGGCAGCTTCCCACGAACGGAAAGGGATGAGCTAGCCATGCAGGGAGGCTGCAGGCTCAGGGCCCGTCTTTCTGTATCCGCCACGTGAAGGATCAGAAGCCCTGTGAGTGATGCTGGCGAGTAGTGCCCTCAGATATTCCGTGGGAGCAGGAAGCCTGTCACACTTGTCTAAGGCCCTGGTTCTCAAACTTGACTATGCATGAGAACCACCCGGAAGCTTGACAGACATGCCGACGGCTGGACGTGCTGGACCTGGCAGCAGAGATGTCTGGATCAGCTGGTCTGGCAGGTAGGCAGCCCAGGAATATGCATCTTAAACAAATTTCCAGTAATTCTAACCCAAGTAGGATACTACTGACACTCTGAGAAACACCAATCTTAAGTCTTCGGAATGAGACTGGCAAATGTTGACTATTGTTAAAGTCAGGTGATGGGTATATGTGGTGATTACTTTTCTGTATGCCTGGACATCACAATAATGGAGTTTTTATTTTTTGTGACTTTTTAAAATATATACATTTTATTGATTCTTTACAGAGAGGAAGGGAGAGGGAGAGAGAGTTAGAAACATCGATCAGCTGCCTCCTGCACACCCCCCACTGGGGATATGCCCGCAACCAAGGTACATGCCCTTGACCAGAATCGAACCCGAGACCCTTGAGTCTGCAGGCCGATGCTCTATCCAGTGAGACAAACCGGCCAAGGCTATGACTTCTTTTAAGTTAGAAATCAGCGCCATGAAGGCAGGGGCAAAGGGCAGTGGCAATGACATGATGGCCAGGAGGCAAGATGCATGAGATGGCCCTCGACAGCGCTGGCCCACAAAGCCTCACCAGTAAGAGCTATGTTGGAACCAAACAGCAATTCCTGCAAAATGCAAATAATTCCCCCCAACAGTATAATCATAAATTAAGCCCAAGTTTAAATAGATCAGTTTCCATGAAATTTAGACCATACCAACTGCACTGTGAAGGGAGGACAGAAGGAAGGGAATGAATTTTGGCTGAAGTCAGGGAAGGAGAAGAGGATAGGTAGGTCAGGTTGGATGAACAGGATGAAATAACTCTGAAGGGATCTCCCAGACTATGTGTTTTTACTCTTAAACTCTATGTTTTTTGAGGAACCAGGGGTAGGAGGACGAGTGGGACAGAAAGGGCAGTAAGAGGCCCAAGGTAGACTGCAAAGGGATGTCCAGGGCAGCGCCACCATGGAGCTGCTGGTGATGGAGGCTTCCAATGCTGTTCTAAGTAACAAGAATCCTAACGTAGAGCCCGAGGCAGGTGCCAAAGCTGCCTCTAAGTGGAGGAGAGAAGGCTCTGCTCCCAACTCACTACCTCTAATTGTCACGGTGAAGCTGAACTCTATAAACCCACTGTCCAAATGGCTTGATATGCCACCAACGGTAGAAGGGCTTGAATGAAAACAGGATCAGAGAATAAGGGGATTAAAAAGGCCAGGTAGCCTAGGCCAGCAATGCCTTTGTTTGTACATAAGAGACATGTCCATCTCTGATTACCCTTAGGAATTATGACTGCATCGGTCCTTCCTAAGCAATGGGAAGTGGAAAAGTAGCAGTGATTTTGTCTGAAGGAGACAATAATGATAAGGCTAATCTTTGGGGGAAGGCTGATTAACTGCCATTTATCCACTCAACACCCAAAAAGGGGATGAATTTCATATGTGGCTTAATTGCTGCTGAGTCCACATCTTGCTCTCTCTCACTCTAGGGGGAGCCAAGAATCCTTCGGCATCTCATTTCACCCCATGGGATGGAGCAAGATCAAAATGGAGCCCCCAAGGATGGTCAGCTGGGATGCCCAAGGGTGGTGTTTTCTCGTGTCCCCTGCACCCTCCTCCCTCCCCCTGAACTACAGGTTCAGTGTGAACCTTCTGCTCTGCTATGATAGAAATGGTACAGGACACTCTGCCTTTGATGAAGTTGGCTACTTCCAGGCCTTATCTAGCTTGCAGATAAGTTTGGTCTGGACCACACTGCTCTTTATTTTTATTTTGTTTTGTTCTGTTTTAACATGAATTTCTTGTCCAAATTGGGAGATTTTGTACAAAAATCCGAATTTCTAAATTCTTCAAATACAAAGCCTGGCAACACTGGACCTACATTCCAGTGTTTTCCATGGGAACCTACATCCGAGTGTGGCTGCCCCTGAGCTCCCAGCACTCCCTAACCCGGGGTTCAGTACTAGTTCTTCATCATCCAATCTGCACTGCTAGGGATCTTACAGAATGAAGAGGCCAGTGAAGTATGCAGCTATGCAGCTATCAAACACAGGAAAGCAAAGGAAGACTAAGTGGGAAGCATATTTTAGGAGACTTGGCAGAGAGTAAATATCTTCATAGAAGTATGAATATACAAATAACCGGTATATGTACCTCAGTAATATAACTTAGGTGCTTTTCTGAAATAAATCCACACTTCACAGATTTGCTTTACCTACCTGGTCCCCAAAGGCACGGAGTCCAGTGCTAGGACACAGAATCTAGCACAATGATTTTCAAACTACAGGTCATGGCCTGTTAGTGACTCATGAAATCAAGTTAGTAAATCACCACTGGTCTCTTTTTAATAGCAGAGAGGATAAAAGAAAGTGAACTGCTCACAATAAGGATAGGTATTACATAAAATTTTTTTTTCAATTTTATATACTCACATACCCCGTCATGATGGAGAGTGTATTTTTAAATGGTGGTGACAGGTTAAACGAAATGAAAACGGAGTTGGTCTACCACCGCCCACCAGAGGATTTGGGGCTGAAGTCCTGCCTCCCACACACTGTGGAGGCTGAGGGGGAGAATTGTAGGTCCTGGGTCCTCTCTTCCTTACAGACATACTTCTGAGGAAACTGTGACCCGGTCCAGCCCTATGGAGGGGACATGCCTCTTTCCCCAGAAGTGGCTACGAGAGGGTTTGGGAGCATGACAATTACAATGATACTGTGAGACTGTCTCACACAGCGAGAGCACTTCGCAATACTCTACAAAGACTCGCTCAGCTGAGCGCTGGAAACGAGGTAGAGCAGGTTTCAGCAGCACCGTTACTGACGCTGGGCACTGTGTTGTGCACGTCACCCAAACCACAGCGCCAGTGAGTGAGGAGGCTGAGACCAGAATCCCTGTCTCCCGACGTCCACCCTAGCTTCCAAACACACTGCCTGAGCCTTCTCAACAGCAGACACGGCTGATTTTCAGACGCCCCACAGGGCGCCCCGACAGCTGTTTGGATTTACTGTGCAGACGCTCCATTCCTGACTTCCCACACTTAGAGAAATAAAAGCTGGAGAGAATCCTTTAAACCAGGAGCTCTTAACCAGGGAGGCACAAGAGAATCACACTCGGGAAGTTTCTTCGGTGTCCATGTGCTGGGCCTCACCCCAGGCCTCTGGAGGAGGAATCTCTAGAAATGGGACCCGGCCACGTGTGTGAGAATCACTGCCCTAAGCCTTACTTCAGATGGCTGGCTGAACTCTCCAGTTGCTAAGCAGCAAGATGGAAACCTCCTGCCTTATCCTTCCGCGTTGCCTGCTCTCTTCTAAAAGTGTTGGTGAACTCTGCCTTGACCTCCAGGCGGAGGGGAGCAAGGAGACGGCTTCACAGACTGAAGCCGCATCCCGACTGATCCTGAGTTGATTATCTCGAAATTCAGACAAGACTCCATCGTGTTCATAAAAGCTGGGCAGGTGCTCCCCACCCTGGTAGGTCCGGAGCAATTCAGATCCGATTAGAGATGCTTGTTCAATATTCAAAATGTAAAACACAGAGGTTGCTGAACCAGCACTTTGAAAAGTTAATTAAATGCCAGGTTTCTTTTTAAGAGCTACTCCATCACTTGCTGATTGCTTTGGCTATTTTGCAGAATGAAGCCTTCACTCTGGACAATGAGAGTAAATGTTCTCCCTCACCTCCCACCTGGTGGAGACAGGGCACTCTGGCTTCCTGCTTTCCAGGGATGACGCAGCGGCCTGGCCCTGGCCCTGGCCGGTGACTTGCAGGAGGGGAGGCAGGGCTGTCCCTCTGGCCCTTTCCCAGTCACTAAAAGCACTCAGCCTCCCGGAAGCTGCCAGCTCCCCGCACGTCAGGTTTTCGGGTGGAAGACTTCATACCCTTTGTAATACTTTTAGCAAAAATAAATAAATAAATAAATAAATAAAATAAAATAAAATAAAAAAAGACTTCAAGGTTAAGGGTGTGGTCTCGTCATCTCCACCTCCATTTAAAGCCCAGTCCTTCAGCTCAGCACTCACCCTGTCCCCTTCTGGTTTTCACCCCCACTTCTCTATGACCCACATGAGGTCTCTCCTCCCGGCTTCACAGGGCACCTCAATACGAAGGGAAAGACCATCTCCAGGCCCCGGCCCCCACAGGCCTATTACAGGAAGGCTGATGACATAACAATAGTAACGTTTATTAAACTTATTGGGTGCCCGGCACTGTCATTATATTTTCTTATTTATATATTACATATATTATACATGGTATTATACGTTATTTCATTTTCACATTATCTCTTTAAATTTACTCCATTTTACAGACAAGCAGACTGGGGCTCAGAGAAGTACAGTAACTTGAGTAAGGTCACCCAGCTAGAAAGTGGTAGGATTAGAAGACAAGCTCTGG